TATTCAGTGATATGAAGGGAGTGACAATTCCAAAGCTTAAAGGTGGTGAGTTTCTTTTGTTCTGCTTCGTTAAGAGCTAAAATGGGAATCCAAACTGATTGAGGTGCTTGAATATAAGCCTACAACAATGCACAATGCACAATGTCTTTTAATTTGCTGATAAATAGCTGGCAGTATAAAATCAACGAATCCCTATTATTTGTAGAGACAATGAAGTACAACAATTGCGGACAAGATGATATTGTTTTGATGCAGAACGGAAAGAACTGTGGTAGTATGAAGGCTCGAGTTTTATAGGCGGCTCATTCAGTTGTAATGATAAGCTGATCCGTAGCAATCGGCAGACTTACACAAGTCACCCAAACACTACAAGTGTGTTAAGTTAACAGTCAGGGGTCACCACGATAACGGACTTCGCAACGGCACTCCAGTTCACTGTGGCGAACCTCTAATTGCCCCATCAACGAGTTTTGTCTTCATCGCATTAGTCGAGACCGCCAGCAGATCCACTTCAGTTTTCAGACCACTCTAAGTTCTCATAAACGCAACTACAGGATCTATCGAATGAGGTTCGCAAATTAACGCATCAAAGACTTCTAACTCGTCTCCTTCAGTTATCCGGATTAGTCGAACATCGCAGCTTTCGCGTTTTCACAGACTTAGGAAATCACCTTGTTAAGTGCAGACATATTGAAAGCTACATTTACCTTGCCTGCGGGTTCTGACTGCACGCTAGTAATACTCAAGACTAGGAAAGCAATGTCGACTCAAGTCCCTAAAGTTATCAATGAAGGTCTGGCAGCGTTGACTACTCAGTTCATTATATCAACAGGTCCTGCATCGACAACAGTGGTTTCGGCAGATACGTTCACAACGCCAACTGTTCCTGCCTCTGCTCTCATGACCACCGCGACTGATGACTCCACTTTTACTAGTCGACCTATTCACACCTCCAAAATCAACACAACACGTGCGTTCACGCCTAATAATTTATTTAACACATCAACAGGTCCTGCCGCGACAGCAATGATTTCCACAACTAGCCTTGTCACTCTCACTACCACATGCACATCGATCACCGAACTCACTACACCAAGTGCTTCTTCATCCTTTTTTCCAGCCCGCCCAATAAAACATTGACGACTTCCCATTTTAACTTTTTAGCGGCAGCTACTAGTGAGTCAGCTTCCACTGGCAGATCTACACACTCACTCGTATCCAGCAACACACGTTTGTCCTCTTCCAGTCTTCTGACCACCACTTTAGGGGATTCAGAGCTGACACCACACCTTATCAATGACGGTGATTCTACACCAACTCCTTCGATCACCGCAGTTTTGTATACTTCTCTGGTTGCGGCTTTTAATTTGAATTTAAAGTAAGCACTTGTAAATCGGCGATTGCCACAGGCAATTACGTCCTTATTTTTGCTTTGTTTGAGCCTAACTGCTTTTATTGTAGGCTGCATTGAATCAAAGGATCTGTGTGACATTCTTTGGCCACTTTCTACACGCAGAGCACCCAATCCTTGTAACAACTCCTAACACCTTTGAAATAGATTTCAAAGCCTTTGATTCGCTTCTTAAATGGATTGTTTCATTATGGTGGTTTGTGTGGAAAGGAGATTGGAAATTGCAACACATGGCTAAGGCTGCCTGCAAACTCAGAATATCATTCCCTCCAAATTCCTCGATAGCCATTCACCTCGTAGATACTTTGCGGCGATGTCTACCGTCCATATAGTACAATTTAGTCCCTAAGTAGCTGGATTGTTGAAGCCCTAATGAAGGATGCACAAATTAGATATAGCAATTACGCGACTTAATGTGAGTCCTCTGTGAAGTTCAACGGTAAGAGTGATGTAGGTCTAGTTGGGTGACTGAATCAAACAAGGTGTATGTTGGTTATGGCCTGTGATGCTGTCGTATGCTCCTTATGGTCGAACTGAAGCCAAGGCCAGCAGTATGAAAGGCTTACAGCAGATTAAAATGCAAATCAAACAATGTTTTCAAGTTATCATGCAATGCAATGCTAGTAAAAATTTGGTTGATGATTTTTACTTTCACCATCTTAGGTCGCCTTTGCTAGTCCTCTGCCGTGAATTTTCCAGTGGACTCATGGAAGTTGGCATTAAAGCTAAGTTTGGTATTCCAAGTGTAGAAAACTACGGGACGCAACAACTGACGCAGGATGTTGTCGCTCTCAGGTAGCAAACACCCTTTAAGTCCCAGTAGAAGGACTGAGAGACATTGCACATGCAATAACGTGAGGCCACGCTAGGTCACACTCCGCATCAGCACCAGCGATGAGTATGTGCAGTCTGGGCTATGCGATAGCGAGTGACGCAAAAAAGTGGACACGTAGGATAAGGCGAAATACTGACTGGTGATGTCTACTTGGGTATACGGGAAACCTGATAAAACGATGCGGAAGTAGACCAACCACTAAAGTGTCGGCTTGTTAAGGTGGTCAGTGACAGACCAGTAACGCAGTAAAGTTGAGTGCCAAAATGGCGAAACAACTTACGCCTACTACCCGTTATGTTGGCGATTTGTATTTATGATTATTTTTTCCTTCCTTCGATGTGAGCATGATGTTATTTTCTCCTCCAATTAGAATAGATTTAAAATTATAATCCACATTATTGCGCACACAACTCTTATAGCTTATTCACTGGTCTCTGTGCCACAAAATACTACCCCAATTTCCTCTCCCCCATTTTACAAAGAACCACCTTTTATCTCGTTTCTACGTCCCAATTTCAACTGCATCCAGAAGAGTACTCACATCCGCTACTTTGTCTCTTGTCTTCCGTTTCACTCTCCAACGTGTCTCCGTCGACTGCGGGTACTTCATCCTCGCTCATCTGATTGGCAAAAGATGGTTAATGGTGCCCACACCCTTAAAGAAAACGACATCCACGGGCTGCCACTACCGACAACTCTGGACATCGAGTTAAATCTTGAATGCAGTAAACTAAACAGGTGAGGTTATACTTTCTGACAGATGGTGCACCAACAATTTTAAGGTAATTTGAGCACACTCTACAGTGTGGATGGGTCAAAATTATTCCTACATCGCTTCAGAACCTACATCCAAAGCTCGACACGAAAGTTCAGTTCACTGCACATTATCACACAGCGAAGAAACGGACAGCTTCATTGCCTTTTGTTGACAGCCGAGTTGTTATTTGACGTTCGCATTGAACACGCATGCTGTTGGAGGTGGACCAACTTAAAACAATAATTCAGGCTTAACAACAGTGTCTGCAGTTCTCCGTCTTCCGATTGGATATTAGGAAATCATACACAGTTGATTGATGTGACAGCTCCATTGGCTGGTCGGAGATTAGCGAAAATGGCGAACGGTTTCACTACAGTAGATGTGAACTAACTCAAAGTTTGTGACCAAAGCCTTTTGACAGCCCTGGTGCGCAAAATCATAATGCACGAATCACATTTTTACAGTGGTTCCAGTGATTGGATCTCTGTCGATCCCGTTCTGCATGCCCTTAAGCGAATGATATTTACTTTATAATACCGAATCAACTAATTTTTCACCACGCTTAGCTCAAATAAAAGGGCGTTTGCTAAGACACACGCGCCTACATCCGAGAGCAATGACGAGCTTCCCACATCATCAGCGCCGCTGCCAGCAAGTACCATTTCCATTCTTTATTACAAGCAGGTACCACGAATAAAATTAACTTTGTTGCAGTGAAGCAGAAGTTCCGCACTTAAATGTCGATTTTCCACATGCCCTGCCACAGGTTGGCCACGCAATCGCTCTACATTGCCTTTGCTTTGGGTGGCTCAACGCCAAAAACGGACTTCGTTGTGCTCCGGCCTAACTCTTTTCTTTCTCATTATAACAAATTTGATGTGTTGCTGTCTGCCAGGGAAGAGCTTGGCAACCTTTAGGCATGAACAATAAAAATGTAATTCTGATTAATTTAAAGCACAACGCATTTTACAGAGTTAATGCGTGTTGATCGAAAACAACAAGCATTAAACTGCGTGGATTGACTAACAATGCTTAGTTAAGACACCTCAAAAATATGGTTTGCTCTCAGTCCATATGTTCTACAATTTTAGACACGCATCCACACCTGTGGGTTGATGGGACCTTTTCCTTCATTCTGCATGATCCCAACGGTCTAAAAAGCCTGTTTACTATACGGCGCCGTTGGCGGTGTAACAATTGCCGTTAGGACGGAGGGACAGTCATAAATCGCGGTAGCAAAGCCGATGAAAACAGGCAGCATCGGTCGAACAACTCACCCTCCCCATTGCCAAACACACACTGTTAAAATCGCGCACATAGAAATGTCGTCCTCCCCAAGTACCCTTTATTCAGTCGTACGGGTGATCAGCCACATGCAACCTGCTATGCTTTTATGTTTCGCAGTTGGATGAGCAGATTGTGCTGCATCGAGTTATACTCGGACAAGAAAGTTTAACTACCTCAGTGCAGACCTTACTCATTGATGCGTGGCTCAAAGGAAGTCTTGCGGCTGCTGCTGCAACCACGGTGTGGTTAGAGTCGATCGGCCCTCTTGCTCACAAGGCCAATTTGACCTCCCGCTGACGCACACCCATGATGAATAGACATTGTCCCAAACTAAATCCCCAACTATCGCGTCGAGCCCGTTTTACTAGGCCACGAATGCAAATTAGATTTTGGTTTTTTTTGGAAACTAGGCCAAATATTTTGCGATCGCTCGTGGGATCTGCAAGGAGGTCGCACAGAGACTAAAAACACACCCTCTTGTGCTAGCCGATGTGTTGCGCTAATTGCTCAACGTGCATCGGGGAGTTACAGAGACTTAATCGCCCCCCTTGGAAACGGTTTGGAGGACTGTGTCTCCTATTTCGCATGCATTCGCACGCACGAGTACGTGTATAGTAGGTGGAAAGTGTGAGACGGTGCATCTTTTCAGCGCTCTGCTCACTGTCTCCCTACCGACGGTGTGACCACTTCACGCTTTGTCTTTGCACACTACCAGCAGTGTCGTCTAGAATCTAAGAAGGCTTCCTCTCCCCAATCACGACAACTTGCCCGCCTATCACGCATGTTCTCCCCAAAATGACACCAATTAAGTGGGTCTTCATTCGCGTGTCCACGATAAGTGCACATGTAGCTGTGATATGTTTGCGTTAGCAACCACACTTCGTTGTCGTCGACTCAAATGTCTGTGGGTGAAATGTAAATTATCTTACACGATTCGACGCAAATGATAGTTACATTACTCCCACCATCGTCTCTAGTACGTAGTGTTACACTCAACGACAGGCTGTAATCATGTAGACAACTAAGAAACTTGTGCAGTCGTGTTGTTCTTTCTTCTCGTTACACATTTATTCTGTCAGGTGTGGTTGAAAGTTTGTTAAAGTTTGCTCAGAAGTATATGTTATTCGTGTAACAGTTAAGATGACGGCAGTTGAAGAAGATCAGATGAATAAGGTGCGAGACGTGTACGGACACGAGTTTGGATAGAGATATATTGGTGAAGAGTAAATAACATCACGTCCATAGTAGCTGTTTTGGGACACTTTACACTCTTCTGCACCAAATCGCATTGAATGGGCGGTATAGGGAATGTAAGACAGCACTAGTAAGGGAGACCTAGGATGAGGTTAAGGGGATGCTCCATGGATGGCATCAAAACGATAGTTAGGAGGGTGAAACGCTTTCACATGGAAAGGCTTAGGAACAAAAGGAACTGGAAGGTCATGAAACGAGAGGGTTGAAAAGACTAACCACAGCAGATGAAAGAAGAATCGTTTAGGGACTGCGTTTTCAGCCAAAAAAAGTGTTTTTGGCTGAATT